AGGGGCCTCTACATGCGCCCGCGGGGCTGCCCAGGCAAGGCAGCCAGGGGGGCCCCTGCGGGGCCCCCAGGCTGGGGCCCTAAAGGAATTGGGAGAAGCTGGGCAAATATAAATATAAATAATAAGTCCAAGTAGATTCATATAAGTAAAGTTCAAGTGCAGATGTCCGTATAAGCCTATATCTATTTGCTATATATCATATATATGTATATATATATATATATAATATATATATATATGTTATATATATATATATATATATACATACACAAGATGCATATATATGCACATATATGTTTATATACATCTATATATCTATGAAGATATATATAAATATGTTTATAAAGTGTATCTCTATACGCATCTGGACAATATAAATTAATTTGTATTCAGCGCCTCTAGGCCTTTTTAAACTTCTATTTACAATTTTCAAAAACGCATAACTTGCATCATTTAAATACAAAAGGGCAGCAGCAAAATGCGCAACCAGAGCCACTGAGGGGCCCCCCAGGGCCCCCCAGGGGCCCCCCGGGGGCCCTCAGTGGCACCCCTAGGGGCAGCCCAGGGGCCCCCGTGAAAGGGCCCAGCAAGAAAAGCCACACACTCAGCTGGGGGCCCTTGGGGAGGGGGCCCTCTTAAGGAAGAGGCCCCCTGGGGCAGGGGCCCCCTTAAGGAAGGGGCCCCCCAGGGGCCCCCTAGGGAAGGGGCCCCCTTGGGGAAGGGGCCCCACTGGAATAGGGGCCCCCTTGGGGTAGGGGCCCCCTTGGGGCAGGGGGCCCCTGGAGGAGGGGCCCCCAGGGGCCCCCATGGGGATATGGGGGCCCCGAGCGTGGGCAGCAGCTGAGAGCAGCAAAACAAAACCTACGCAGGGGGGCCCCCGGGGCCCCACCTGCCTTAGCTGCTGCAAATAGGGGCCCCTAGAGGGGCCCCCAAACCCTTTTTGCTGCTTCAAACTCTTTCTTGTGTCTCAGTGCTGCAGCTTAACAATACAAATTGCCTAAAGACAAGGCACGAGGCGGTGCAGCGGGCGCTGCTGCTGCAGCAGCTGCTGCTGCAGCTGCAGCAGTTGCCGCTGCCGCTGCTGCTGCTGCTGCTGCTTCACCAGCGCCAACGACTGCAGCAACAGCAAACAAAAAAGGCCCCAAGCAGCCGCAGCTGCAGCAGCAAATTCGCTAGCCCAAATATAAGTGCACATTACTGGTCCGCCTCTTCATTGGGCCTC